GCAACACAAATGGTATGAATAGTTATTTGAGTAGCAAACATTGTTCAGAGCACAAGTATGGAACAAAGTAAAAGGAGATGAAACAAGAGCTGTGATTCTCAAAGTGTGGTCCATGGACCCCTAGAGAACCCAGCTGCGGGCAGGTGGCAAAGTAGCTCGAACCCTTTCCTAAGACTACGACATAATTTATCCTTTCACTGTAGAGATTTGAGTCAGTGGTATGAAAACAGTGATGGCTAAGGGGCTGGGGAGATGGCTCAGCGGAAAAAGTGCTTTCCTGGCAAGTGCAAGGGCCTGAGTTCAATCCCCAGTTCCAGAAAAAAAAAAAAAAGAAAGAAAAAAAAGAAAACAGTGATGGCTAAAACTTCTGGAGCCCAAGGAGGAACTAAGACAATGGGTTCTTCACTATGATGGACTTGCACAGTAAAGTAAAATAAAAAAATTAAAAAGGTGTGGTGGCACATGCCTGTAATCCCAGCACTTGGGAAGCAAAGGCAAGAAGACTGACATGAGTTCGAGGACAGCCTAGGCTACCTAATGAGTTCAAGGCCAGCCTGAACACATAGTTAGACTTTATCTCGATAAACAAACAATCCCCAAACCAAAATTTAAAAAGACTAGCTGGTGAAGCAACACAGATGCCTGGTTTCGAGCTCTTGACCTCCAAGGGCATACCTCTGCTGTTCTGTACAGTGTCATGCGAGCGCACACCATGTGCACATCTGCTGCCTGTCAGAGCATGTGACTACCTCGAGGTGTCCTTGGGCGAGTGTGAGTCATGATGACCCGAACTAACTGCTTTTCTATGGGGCATCTTTTTTATTTTTATTTTATTTTATTTTTTTGAGGAACCAGGGATTGAACACAGGCCCTTGCACTTACCAGGGAAGCACTTATTCCAATGAGCCATCTTTTGGGCCTTGTTTTTATTTTTAAATCATTACACCTATTTGCAAATATTTTCTCATAACAAAATGACCAAATCACACCAAGGAGAACAACAAAGACAAAATCTGAGTAATCAACAAAAATCAGAATTTTAGAAAACAAGTGTCCATTGTGCTGAGCCTGAAAACTTTTCAGTATATAAGGATTTTTCTGATGAGATCAGGGGTGACATTAATGGACACTTCTTGAGTATGTGATGGTGCTAGAGAGTGACAGGAGCCAATGTGCCACTGAGCTGCTTCCCTAGACCTTTTTTTTTTTTTTTGGCAGAACTGGGGATTGAACTCAGGCCCTTGTGCTTGCCAGGCAAGCGCTTATTTTACTGAGCCACCTCTGCGGTCCCCCTAGACCTTTTTGATTTTGAGAAAAGATCTCATTCAAACTCAAGTTTCCTGAGAGGCTGGGCATGCAGGCATGTGTCACCACTCCTGGCGACACAGTACTTTTTGTGCATTTGTGGTGCTGAACATTAAACCTACAGCCTTCATACTGGGCTACATATCCAGCCCTTTTTTAGTTTTTAAGTGAGAGTCTCACTACATCACTGAATTGCACAGGCTGGGCTCAAACTTGTGATCTTCCTGCCTCAGCCCCATAATACTGGACTTACAAGCCTGCACCACTGCACCCAGCTGACCTACTGTAATATCTCATATATAATGTGTCAACATTTGGATGATCTGAATTAACTCCATGAACCCATTATTTTCCAAATGGCCAATAGCAGGATCCTGGAGGGGAGAAATTCTAAAGTACAAGACAGAGGGGCCAGAGAGATGGCTCAGTAGAATAAGCGCTTGCCTGGCAAGCACAAGGATCTGGGTTCAATCCCTGGTTCTGCCAAAAAAAGAAAAAAAAAGACAGAGCAGTGGGTTTTAACAACAGATGACAAAAAGTTCACTGATAGTGGACGCAGGTTTCATCTACAACTAGTCTTGTAGACACTGCCATTGTACTGGGGAGTGGCTCAGTTCACCTTGCATATGGGAGACCGATAAAGAGGGATACTGCCATTTGTTGCATTCTGGTGTATTATCAAAGGAGATATGTAATTATTGGTTTTTTTTTTTGTTTTGTTTTGTTTTGTTTTTTGTGGAACCAGGGATTGAACTCAGGCCCTTGTGCTTGCCAGGGAAGTACTTATTCCACTAAGCCATTTCCCGGGCCCCCTGTTTTGTTTTTTTTAGACAAGATTTCACTATGTAGTTCAGGGTGGTCTTAAACTCACTATATAGCCCAGATTGGCCTTGAACTCACAATGATTCTCATGCCTCAGCTTCCCAAGTGTTGGGATTAGAGGCATACTTATCTGAAAAGGCAATTAAAATATTCTTTTTCCTAATAGCTATCTGTGGGAAGCCAGATTTTCTTCATAAACATAAACTGAGATAACACATCACAACAGATCAAATGCCAAAAGAGTTAAGAATTTAGAAACCTTTGAAACATTAAGCAGATTTGCTAAATGTAAAAGTATCAGGGCTGGCCAAATAGCTCAGCAGATTAAAGCGGCTGCTTAGGCAAACACAGGCAGCAGGAGCTTGATCCCTGGCGTGCCATGCTGGCCCCGCCCCTGGGGCACACTGAGATTTGCGATTGAGACTGGCCATGGTGGCATGTGCCTGTAATTCCAGCTCTTGGGAGGCTGAACACAGGCGGATCACTAAGAGTCCGATCTACATAGGTAGACCCTGTACTAAAAATACAAAATAAATACATAATAAAAGTATCAATCTTCTCATTAATTTAGAAAATCTACAGTTATGCCACTCTGAACATGCCCAATTTTGTTTGAAAAAGTTTTTCACCAATATATCATTTATACAAATAAGCAATGAGTGTTTTGTTATTATTTGTAAGGGATTAATGAATATTTTTAAAATTCATAGCTACATTTTCTAAAATGGTAATGAATCTCCATAACTGTAACCTGAAACTCTTTAGGTTCTGAATAACTTAAAGTGTAGGAGGAACTTGAAACCAGAAAGCGTGAGAACCACGGGGTTAGAGCTCACAGGGTCCACGTCAGATGGCCGTGGGGAAGGCATCAAGGGCTGGTGTCATCAGGAGCCCAGTTAGGGGGCAGTGTGGGTAAATGAGGTGGGAAGCAATGAGATGTAACAAGGAGAAAGGGCAACGTGGAGGCAGATGAAGGGACAGAGCTAAGCAACGGACAAGTCACAGCAGAAGGCAGGGAAGGAGAGAAGAGGATAGTATGGGGGCCGGGGGGTGGGATGCCTGGGCATCCAGGAAAATGGAGGTGGCATTCACCAAGGAAAAGGAACACGGGAGAGGAGCTGGGGTGTGCACACATCTGCAATCTCAGCACCTGGGGGGATGAGGTAGAAGGACTGCTGCAAGTGCAAGTTCAAGGCCAGCCTGGGCTACCTAGTGAGTCCAAGGCCTGTCTGAATTACAGCTCTCTAGGCTGGGAGGCTGGGAGGGAGGCTGGGAGGGAGGTTGGGAGGGAGGTTGGGAGGGAGGGAGGGAGGGAATGAGCTGTGTTTGGGTCATGACACTGGTGCAGGTGGGACGTTGCTGGGTGGAGGAGCCCACCAGACCATCTGAATGTGTTGGGCAGGAGGGCGGTCAGAGTGGCAGGTAGAGGTCTGGGGCACGGCTTGGAAGGTGCAGATGAGGCTGTGGAATGAGTGAGATCAGGCAGGGAGAACGTGCAGACCACACAGAAGGCTGAGAACAGACTCAGGTCAGATGTTCCTGGGTGGCCTGGGAAGTTGCAGGGGGCCCCCTACAGCAGGGAAGCCGCCAGCCAATCTGGCTCAGGAGGACACACAGGACAGGTAGCGGCTGCTAGATGGTGCTGGCTGCTACCCAGAGGTCAAACAAGGCTGAGCCACAGCTTGGCTGCCAGGGCTTTGTTACTGACCTTGCCAGGAGCAGCTATAGTGGACTGAGAAATGAATCCAAGAGAAAGAAACTGGGATGGGGAAGGTGGGCTGCTCACAGGAGAAAAAATGCAATAAGAACGATGCAAACGCTTGCCTCATATGCTCAAAGCCCTGGTCCAGTCCTCAGGGTGTGGAAGTCTGTTAGGCAGAATGCTCCGAATGACCCCAGGAACTTGCTCCTGTGTCACTCTCCCAGCCCGTCTGCAAACCCATGACTATGATCTGCGAGGCAGGAGCTACCCTGCCAGTCTCCTCTCCCCACAGGGGCCCTTTACAAGTTTCTTTCTGTTGGTAACAGAAAAGGATGACAGAGAGACTGAGAGCATGAGAAGACCTCAAGACACCTGCACTGTACACAGGTAGGCCCACGTGACAAGGAACATGGGCAGCTCAAGGGCAGAGGGGGACACTCTGGCTGTTGGCCAGCTGAATTTCATCAAATTCTGATGCAGCTTGGCAGTGAAGAGTCCAACCTGGCAGCTCCCTAACTGCAGCCTCATGAGAGCTGAGCAGAAGGCAGCAGGAGCCCACCCAGACATCTGGGGTATGTCTCTACTGTATCTCACTATGAGGAGTCGAAAGGGGGTGCTGGCTTAGACTGGTGGCTGGTGTGTGTGTGTGTGTGTGTGTGTGTGTGTGTGTGTGTGTATTTTGTTTTTGTTTTTGTGGTGCTGGGGAACAAACACTGAGCGCTGCACACACTAGGCATGCACTCTCCACCAAGCGATGGCCTAACTTAGTGTGTGGCAATATGTTACACACAGCAGAGAACTAATTTGAGAAGGGGTCTCTCTGGTGCTGGTTCTGCATTTGCAGAATAACTTTCTCTAAGAGAAAAACCCCTGCTGGTTTGGCGAGGTGGCTGATGCCCACACATGGCAGCTCCTCTGTGCCCACAAGGCGGCACCCCTGGGTCTGTGACGATGAGTAGAACAAAAGCAATGCACCAGGAAGCAGGGTGTGCTGCTGCAGAGGGTAGAGCCACAGCACTCAGCTGCCACTGGTAACATGGGCAGAGACCCATTTTAGGGATGCTACAAACAAGGACCCAGCCAAAGCAGGGAACCTAAGGTGTCCTAGACAGACACACGTGGCACAGCTGGAGCAGAGCCTCCCGCCTCGTCCCCAGGCCCATGTGGCTACCTTCTTTCGTGGCCGAAGCTTGTCCCGCCACTCCTTGAGGTTCTGGTTATGGCTCTCATCCAGGGCCTTCAGCTTCTGGGCTTCATGCTCTACCAAGAGGTGACACTTTTCATTCTAAAACAAATTCCAGGCAGAAGAGGTATGAAAATCAGAAAGAAGGGGCACTGAGAACACACGTACTGTAACCCCAAGGGCGCTACCAGGGTGAAGGTGTGCGCGTGAGAGACGTTTCCTTGATTATAACCCCCTTTACACACAAACTGTCCACATGTCCCGGAAAGTGCCTGGAGGGTTATTCTAGAATATTAGCCGTCATAGCTGCCATCTGTGTCTCACATTTGGAGGAATTTTATAACTTCCTCTTGGGCGCTGCTTCATTATCTGAGTATTTTTAGTACTGGGATTTGAACCCAGGGCCTCACACATGCTGGGCAAGCATCCTACTACTGAGCTACATCCCGACCTGGCAAGAAGCGAGGGGCAGGGACATGGTGGAGACTTGTCAAGCTCTACTGTACTCTCTGAGGTAAGTTACCTGCTTCCCAATTTTATCTGGAATCTTTCGTAGGCAGAAGTGGCAAATCCAATGGGAAATTGGTCTTTTCAAAAAGTATTAATAAACCAGGGGGAAAGTTCCTTTATCGAGATACTACCTTGCTGTTGGGTCCCCTCTGGGGAATTTTTATTTTAAAATTGGAAGGCTTCTGGGAGTTTAGGAATTGGCAGGTAGGATTATTAGCGAGAGCAGCACCAAGGCCTGTAGCCTGCGGCGCGGGGCACTTTATACGGGTCAGTTGATCCTCACAGTAAGGCCACAGTGCAAGAATGCAGGAAGGTGAGTGGCATGACTAAATTCACACAGTGGCCTCCTGGACGTGGTGGCACACACCTGTAATCTCAGAATTCCGGGAGGCTGAGGCAGGAGGCCCATGAACTTATGCCCAGCCTGGGCAACTGAGTGATTTAGCAAGAGCCTGTCTCAAAATTATTCAAAAGGCCTGGGATGTAACTAGTAGAAAGGTCTTGGGTTCAATACTCTGTACTATACTGAAAAAAAAAAAATCAAAATACACAGTGGCAACAGAGCCTCTGCCTGGCAGGCTCTGGGGACGGTAATGTTTCCTGCACGCCCCCAGCTTCTCTAAAAATTGCCAGAGACCAATGCCTGAGCAATTCCCTGAGGCCCACAGAGACTGAGGCAGGCCTCACCCCTCAGGCCTGACAGTGCCGGCTCCACCACAAGGGGGCTCCAAGTACCAGCTTCTGAGAACAGGACGGAGGCGGCCAGGCTCAGAGTGGTGAGATCCCAGTGAGGAACCTCTGAGCTCTGGCTTGCACATGACCCTCAGGCAAGGGGCAAAGCCAGGAACCAGGCAGCCTGAAGAGGTCAGGGACTTGTGGAGAAGCAGTCGCCGGGAGAGGAATGTGGGTCTACAACACAGAAACCGGCAGTATGCCAGCTGTGGGACGCAGGCAAGGCATCTTGAGCTCCACCCTCTCCTTCATAGGAATCATCATCCCAACCCATAACCACTTTAGGGCTCTCAAACGTGTGGCTTGGGATGGTGGTCTGCCCGATGTCACACAGGCTGAGATCAGTGCGGCAAGGCTGGCTTGTCTGACAGAGTGCCTGTGGCCCCTATGGACTGATACCCTTGGGGAAACTGGGGTGGCGAAGGAAGCCCCTACCTGCAGCTGCTGCAGCTCGCTCATGTTGCTCTCGCACTGCGCCAGCATGTCCCGCATCTGGTTCTCATGCTTTTGCTGCTGCTGTAGCCGCTCTGACTTCTGCCTCTTCTCCTCCTGCTGGGAGAACTGCGCAGGACAGAGGGAGGGTGCCTCAGGAGGCCGCCTCAGGAGGCCAGGAGCCTGGCTGCTGAGTTGGGCGGCCTGCCTTACCTTGGCCCCGGAAGCCAACAGAGAGACTGCTCTGTGCACAGCTCCAGTGCCCAGTGGCCTCAAACTGTACCTCCACTGTTGCTGTGGTGCTGGGGACCGAATACAGGGCCTCCTACATGCTAGGCAAGTACTCTACCACTGAGCTAATGTGCAACCACTGAAGTCCTCACTCTGAGCTGACATCCAGGGCCAGCCTCAAGGTGTCCCCAGACCATAATGTGTGACTGGTGCCAGGACAGGGTGCACAGGAATCACAGGTGCCTGGGCCACACATGCGACACACAAGTCAGGCTCTGGTGGATGAGAGGAAGGGGTAGGACAGCAGGGGAACCTACAGCATAAAGGCACTGGTGTGAGGACGATGGCGAGTGACACCGTGCCCCTTCTGTGTTCCACAGCCAGGATCCACTGTGGGGGGGACTGAAGCGGCCTGCACGACCCCTCCCAAGATCTCACGCTGCATCTCATGTTCTACGCTCCCCCTGACTGTCTGAGGTCCCGCCTGTTTCAGTGCCCGCTCCCACCTGCTTGATCTTCTCGCGCTGCTCAGAGGCACTGCCTCCTCCATTGATGTGCAGGCTCTTCTTGTACATGGCCATGCGCGTCTTGCCCTCGCTCCTCTGGATCTTGGGCAGCCGCGCCTTTTCCTGCTGCTGCCGCACCTTCAATTGCTCTATCATGCGCTGGTTGTAGCGCTGCATCTGCTCCAGCTCCTGGGGGACACCCGGCAGGCTGAGGTTGGCTGAGCTCAGCATGGGGTGCAGCAGAGCCTAGGACCCGTGTGGCTGGGGCGCTCAGCACAACCTGGCTTGTGTTTCTGTCACATAACACTTCAGCCTACAGTGTTTCAACTCATGGAACCAGAAAGTCATGTGAGTCAAAGAGTGTCTATTTTGTTAATGCCTTAAATCTTCTAAATGCCTTATCAAACGTTTAATAAGGTGAGGATGGCACACATTGGTAACATCTCAAAGCAAAGTATATGCCAGAAGGGGTGGCTCATCATCACTGACAGCACTGAAAGTTATCAAACTCAGAGCCTCACACACATTAGGTGAGTACTCTACCCTACCTACCATTGAGCTCTGTCCCTACCCTCTGCAAAAAAACAAAACAAAAACCAGCTGGTCCTGCAGCTCACTGGTGAAGCACCCCTGGGTTTGATTATACATACACTTGATACATTTGGATTTTTCTTTTTAACTTATTTGGTGGCGTTTTTGTTTGTTTTTGTGGAACTGGGGATTGAACTCAGGCTCTTGCGCTTGCCAGGGAAGCACTTATTTCACTGAGCCATCTCCCCAGCCCTTTTTAACTTATTTGGTACAGAGTCTCACTACACAGATCAGACTCTAGAGATCCTCCTGTTTTTAGCCTCCCCAGCACTGGGATTACAGGCATACGCCACCATGCCCACAGTTTATGCATGGCTCTGCACACCCTGTGGGTGGGGCCTGTGTGGCATGCAGGATCAGGGATTGAATCTTGGTCCCTGTGTTTGCCAAAGCAAGTGCTTAGTCCGCTGAGCTATCTCGCTGGCCCCATTTGGATCTTTTTTCTTCCTCCTAACACCTGTATTTCTACACTCCCCACAGGCAGCTCCTCCTCTAGGGAGCCTCCCATGCCTTCTACGGCAGGCTGTGCACTCTACTCTGAGCTCCTGCAGTTCTGTGCTGACCTCTGTCACCACACTTAGATAAGGAGTTGGGATTCCTCCCAGTGGCTGTGCATGCACCTGCGGCACATCTGTCACTGAGACGGCCACTTAGCACAGACATCCAGGCGCTCTGGCCATACAAAGCAGGAGCCCTCAACAGGCCTGGGAGGTCTGGGGTGATAGATTTCTGAGCCCTGAATGTATTCTGAAGGAATGCCTGGGAAAGAGGAATAAAGGAAAAGTGTAGAGGAAGGGGAAGAGAGGGGATAAAAAGTATGCAAAAGGTATGCAGAATGGCTGTCAGGGTCAGCGCAGGAGCCTGATCCTGCCCATTTGCTCCCTTACCGGTGCCCCCAGGTCCCCAGAGAACCGCTCAGAGATGCACAATCACCATAGCCGCGCTGCTGGCCAGGTCTGCAGCAGCAGGGCCCCACCCCATCCCCTGAGCCTCACCTTCTCGTGCTTGCGCAGCAGCTCGTGCCGCTGGAGGAAGTACTGGTCCTTGAGCTGTTGCTTCCCCAGCTGGTGCCTCTCTTGCAGCTGGTGCTCCTCCATCTCCCACAGGGCGGCCTCCCGGTCTGCGGAGGGAGGGCATGCCACCCACCTGGTGAGGTGTGAGCAGGCCTGAAGAGCAGACTCCAGGCCTCTCCCAGGTCTCATCACGCTGGGGCTGGCAACCAACCCGTATGTGCTCCTCGTTCGACTGTGCTGCCCTATCTGAGTTCTAGAACTTACGCTGAGCCTAGGAGACACCACCTCCTAGCTTCATGGGGAGAACAGGGGGTGGTCTGAAATTTGAGATCATTACGAAAAGCTCTTCAGACCTCCACTGCCACCTCTGCCAGCTGGGCATCGTTATACCAGGGAGGGAAGAAACATCCCTGGGAAGCAGGGACAAATAGAAAGGGCTCAGCTGGAGACTGGGAACGGAACACAGGGACAAAAATGTAGTATCAAAGGGCCGGCCAGATAGCGGATTAAAGTGCCTGCTTAGGCAGATACAGGGACCAGGGTTCGATCCCTGGAATGTTGTGCTGGCCCCGCCTCTGGGGTGCACTGAGACGGTGATTGAGACTGGGCATGGTGGCATGTGCCTGTAATCCCAGCACTTGAGAGGCTGAAAACAGGAGGATCACTCTGAATCTGATCTGTGTAGTGAGACCCTGTACTAAGTACATAAAAAAATTAAACATTAAAAAAAACACCAGCCTTGAGGCTACAAAAGTGAGCACAAGGCCAACCCAAAAAAAGCATAGCGAGACGCAGTCTCCAAAAAAGGCAGTATCAGGGAGGAAGACCCTGTGCCCCAGTGCCTTGACCTTGGATTTCTCAGCCCCGACAAGTATGAAAAATATATTTCTGCTGCTTACAAACCACCTAGTCTATAGTATTTTATTAGAACTTCTAGCCCAGACTAAAGTCTCAAAAGAATAATAATTCTCCAAGACTCAGTCTCCTCACATACAAAAATTGGGCTGATAGGACCTGTCTCCTGGGAGTAGGGTGAGGATTCTATAAGGTCAAGGTAGGAAAACTGGTTAGCACAGGCCGGAAGAGCGTGGCTCCGCCTGTGACAGCCCTTGGATGGCTGTCAGTGCTGCCTCCACCACCCAACTCCTAGCTCACGTATTTGCAATCTCCATCCAAGTTCCATCTCTTTTTCTCTTGGCTTCTGGAATAATGTCAAAGAGTGGGTGGTAAGCAGTCTCCTTGCGTCGTTCCTGACTTCATGCGGGACTGCCTCCAGACTCACATGAAGGGTCTGTCTAGTCTTCAGGGTGGAGAGGCCCCAGCAGCTTGTCCTGCCCCGCCCCACCCGGTTCACAGTGGTCGGAGGCCAAGACGGCACCGCCCCCTCCGGGCCTCACCTCGAAGGAGCTCTTGCTTCCGGCTGAGGCACTCGCGCTCCTTGTCACAGATCTCCCGCCTGTTTTCTGCAGTGAGTCTCTTCATGGCCAGCTCCAGATCCTCTTTCTGCTTAGCTACAAAATCCCGATCCTGTGAGGAGGAGAGAGGAGGAGGCTTACCCAGAGTTGGCTGTGAGATGAGTAGGGACAAAGGGTACCATGACCAGAGAAGAAAATTTAGGTTCGAGTCCCAGCACTACAAAAAAACAAGTACTTTAAAAAAGATCTTTCTATGTTAGAATACAATCATCTATTAAATGTGTTTTAATGGCTAAAAATATTTTATGGTAGGGAGAGAAGGTCTTATTTCCCCAAGAAATAATCCTGCCTGTCTCAGGATTTTCAGAAGCAGAAAAGCTAAGCTGAAGGATGTACAAGCTTTGAAGGATCCCGATGTGACTGCCAGACTGGCTTCCAACATGGCCGGCCGTATAGTCCGTGCTGTTTCCCTCCCTCGGTGTCTCTCCTGCTTGGAAGGGATGCTAGCCTGTTAATCTAACCCTTATCTGGCCCTGTGTTTAAAAAAATACTTCAGGGGCTGGGGAGATAGCTCAGTAGAATAAGTGCTTGCCTGGCAAGCACAAGGGCCTGAGTTCAATCCCTGGTTCTGCCAAAAAAAATAAAAAATATAAAATAAAATAAAAGCCGGCCAAATAGCTCAGTGGATTAGGCGCTGGGGCCTGGGGTTCAATCCCCAGCCTTTGTGTCAGCCCTGTCCCCCCCAGGGCGAGCTGAGACAGCAATTGAGACTGGGAATGGTGGCACACGCTTCTAATCCTAGCTCTTGGGAGGCTGTAAACAGGAGAATCACTATGAGTCCGATCTAGTAGTGAGAGCCTGAACACCCTGTAGACCCTTCCCTAAAATACAATAAATAAATACTGAAAAATACTTTAAAATATTGATAATTAAAAAAAAATAATTCTGCGAATGTATGAAGTTCAGCGTGACCTGAGGTGCAGTCTCCTCTGTAATGACCAGCCCAAGGCAACCAGCACACCCATCATTTCAAACAGCCATCATTTCTTGAGGGCACAGCATTCAGAATTCTCCAAAAAAATCAAGAAATCCTGCCAAGGCTGTGACGAGCAAGGAACTTTGATTGCTGGTGGGAGTGTGAACTAGTACAACCATTATGGAAATCAGTCTGGAGATTCCTCAAACAGCTAGAAATAGAAATTCCATTTGACTCAGCTACTCCCCGTCTAGGCATCTTTCCAAAGGAGTTAAAGATATTATGTTACAGTGAAAGATGCATTCCAATTTTTTCTTTTTTAAGACAAGGTCTTGTGTGTAGTTCAGGCTGGCCTTGAACTTGTAGTGATCCTCCTGCTTCAGCCTCCAAAGTGCTGGGATTATAGGTGTGTGCCACCACACACAGCTCCATTAGCCACCATACTAACTTTATAGCACCACAACTTTTTCTTTCTTTCCCAAGAGACAAGGTCTTGTTATGTAGTTGAGGCGGGCCCTGAACTCACTATGTCGCTCAGGCTGCCTCAAATTCAGTGATACTCTTGGTTAGACAGCAAAATTCACACTAGCTAAATCCTGGCATCACCCTAATATCAATAAGTGCATGGCTAAAGAAAATGTGGTATCTACATATGACAGACTATTACTTGGCTAGAAAGAAGGATACATCAGTCACTTGTAGGCAAATGGATGCAACTTAAAAACAATGTTAAATGAAATAAACTGACACACAAGATTAAGTACTATATGGTGGTTTCATATCATAAACCCAAGACATAAAGAGCGAAATAAAGGCAGATAAAAGGAAACAGGAAGCACAGGAAGCTAGCTTTTTGCAAATGGGAAGGGGAGCAAGAGATGGGGGGCAGCGTGGAAAGAACTGAGGTGTTTTGCGTACACACATCAATTATACACAATGAGGATGTGGGAAGATTGGGGTGGGGGGATTAAAAGAATTGAGCTGTGTTAAGTGCACATACCTATCCCCTAGCAGGAATGCAAGCATTTATACTGCACACATAGTATAAATAAAAAATGTAACAATCCTTCTAACTAGTGGAATATATAATTCATTAATATTGACAATAATCACTCACCCTATTGTGCAATAAAACATGAGAATTTATTCCTCTTATCTCACTGTAACCGCTCATCAACCTCATTTCCTCTCTTGTTCCCTGCCCTTGGTGGTTTCTGAGTTAAGGGACAGCCCTCGGAAAGAACACAAAGCCTGGGGGCATAGCAGGCTGGACCATCAGTCCTCACTGTCAACTCTCCAATGTCACCTCTCCGAGCCTCCGTTTCCTCTTCTGCAAATGGGAAACCAAACAAATGTGCTTAACCAGCGCATACACAAAGCATTCGTAAATGTGGACAAATATTCCCTGCATTTGGGGCAGAGGAGCAGAATGTGCAGACCCCAGAGTAGGAGAAATGGGACCATTGTGGAGGCTGCTGAGGCTGGGGCAGAGGGCAGGGGTGGCACTGGGGGAGGCTGGAGGAGGGGGCAAGGCCTGGTGAGCACAGCGGGGGACAGTACTAATCTTAGGACAAGGGGCAGCTCTTGTGGGTGTAAGTCACGGTGCAGGGCAGGGAAGAATCTGGATCTGTAGTTTGTACTGTTTGTACCCGAGAGAGAAGGAACTATGTGGGAGCCAGAGGAAGCAGGGAGCCCGCTGTGGCGAAAGCAGCATGGTCCAGGTGGTGCTGGATAGGAGACAGACAGACACGCACATGCTTCAGGAGCGACGGACGAGGATCAGAGGGAAAGGGGTCAGGAAGGCCAAGGTCTGTGGCCTAACAACAGGGAGGAAGGGGTGCTCAAAACACAAGGCCAGGCCCAGGTCTGGGAGATGGAGGACTTTTAGCCTCCAGAGTACACCGAGGAGCAGGTGGCTGGGCTGTGCTAGTGCAGGAGACAGGATGCGCGCACAGCCCTGGGCCAAGCCAGGAGCGCCCAGGATAGAGCCAGGACTAGGGACTCACAAGGAGCTGCTTTTTCTGTGTGTGCTCCTCCATCTTCTGCTTCATGCTCTCCTTCCGCTGCTGCCGGGGAAGCTTCTCAACCTCGCTCTTCACCTGCACCAGAGCAGTAGAAGGCAGAAAAGATCAGGTCCGTCCTCCCACTGGCCAAATCCACACATCACACCAGGACTCCAGGGCTGGGAGATGACGGCCAGGCCCCTCCCTGCTCGCTGAGCCCTGCGCCTCAGGTGGCACCTGCTCACCTATTCGCCACAAACCCACTATCTGGACTCCTCTACAGGAGACAGGGCTACTTCTGGCTGCTAGGTTTCCAACCCCTTTCTGGTACCAGCATCTCAGTTTCCATTAGAGCAGTTCTTCATCTTTTACAAGAACTACTGTTTGCCCAGAAGCCCTTTTAGACAATGTTTCCTAATGATTCTCGACTTATGAAACATTATTTCACAGATATGTGGTTGCTATCTAAGATATCTAACACCAATATCTATCGAAATACCTAAATTATTCTGCTTCCACAGGAGCACAGTCATCCCAGCTGAGAATGCATAATACACACACATACCCCTAACCCTAACAATGAATTAAGCTAGATATAATATATAATAGATATAACATGTATAATTCCCTAGAACCACCACTGAAATACACCTGTACATATGTACACACATATATACTTAACTAAAAAATACTCAAATATTCCAAAAAGAGGAAAGGGCGAACAAAATCCAGAGGAGATAAACAGAACACAATAATTTAACTGCATGTAAATCATAACCACCCTATTGAAAGACAAAGACCTACAGATGCGATTAAAAAGTTAAAGTCTAATAATAAGCCACCACCAACAAAAAATCTATGTAGGGCTGGCCAGATAGCTCATCGGATTGAAGCACCTGGTTAGGCAGACGCAGGAACCAGGGTTCAATCCCCCGTGTGTAGTGCCAGTCCCGCCCCCACAGGGCATGCTGAGATTGTGACTGAGATGGCGTGGTGGCATGTACTTGTAACCCAAGCACTTGGGAGGCTGAAAACAGGAGGATCATTATAAGTCCCATCTGTGTAGTAAGGCCCTATAGACCCTGTACTAAATACATATTAAAAAAAAAAAAAAAGAAACCTATGTTATTAGGCAAATTAAAAGGATGAGAAAATATATTCTATGTAAACTCTAACCAAAAGAAAGCAGAAGCTGGACAAGGTGGTGCACACCTGTAATCCTAGCACATGGGATGCTGAGGCAGGAGGATTGTGAGTTTGAAGCCAACCTGAGGTACACAGTGAGGCCCTGATTCAAAGCAGACTTTCAAACAAGGACTGATCAGTAGTTAAGATATATTACACAATGACAAAAGGGAAGGTCAGTTCACTGAGATGTCATCATTATTTAAAAAAAAAATTGGCTGGGGAGATGGCTCAGTGAAATAAGTGCTTCCCTGGCAAGCACAAGGGTCTGAGTTCAATCCCTGCTTCTGGAAAAAAAAAAAAAAAATTCTTCATTTATTTATTTATTGATTGGAGAGAAAGGGTCTCACTAGGTAGCTCAGGTAGGCTTTGGACTCACTGTGTAGTCCAGGCTGGCCTCAAACCCACAGTGATCCTCCTGCCTCTCCTTCCCAAGTATTGTGATTATACGTGTGTGCCACCATACCTGGGTGAAGATGTCATAATTTTAATGAAACAACTTTGAAAACATGAAACAGAAACTAATAGAAATTTAAAGATAGATTATCTGTGTTTGCTTGTTTATTTAGTTTTTTGAGACAGGGTCTTGCTATGTAGTCCAGGCTGGCTTTGAACCCAATGTATCCAGGCTTTCTTCAAACTGGAAATAATCTTGTCCTGGCCTCTCTAGTGCTAGGATTACAGGCATGTGCCACTATGTCCAGCTCTAAGAAACCCATAATTATAGCTGAAGATATTAATACTCCTTTTTAAGTGGATGAAGAGTTAGGAAGCCTGCTGAAGATCTGAACAATTTTCTCAGTCTTGTGTTTGCCAGGGAGGCACTTGGACTGCTGAACTATCTCTCTGGCCCTTGCACAGCACATTATTAACACAGACATAAGCTAAACCATAAAACAAACCTTAACAAGTTTTTAAAAATGGAAACATTAAAAAAAAGGGGGGGGAGGGCTGGGGAGATGACTCAGTAGAATAAGCACTTCCCGGGCAAGCACAAGGGCCTGAGTTCAATCCCCGTTTCTGCAAAAATAAATAAATAAATAAATAAATAAAATGGAAACATTTAAAAAAAATTTGACCATAATGAAATTAAATTAGAAGTGAAAAGAAAAAGATATGAAAGTTCTAAATACTTTTAAATTAAGCAATGAACTTCTAAATAAACCATGGATCAAAGAGAAAGTTCCAAAGTATATTAGAAAATAACTTGAATAAAAATAAAAATATAACACATCAAAATTTATAGAACAAGCTGGAGATGTGGATCAACCATACAGCTCCTGCCTAGCATGCATGAGGCCCTAGGCTCAATCCCAAGCACCAAAAGAAATAAAAGGAATTTAAACCCAAGACAAAAGCAGAAATTTAAAAAAAAAAAAAAGTAAGTCCAGGGAGATAGCTCAGCAGAATAAGCATTTGCCTGGCAAGCGCAAAGTCCTTAGTTCAATCCCTGGTACTGCAAAAACAAACAAACACAGAAATCAGTATTACTGAAAACAGAAAATCAATAGAGAAAATCAATGAAACAAAAAGCGCATTCTTAGAAAGGGTCAATAAACTCAAACCTTTACTCAGCTCAACAGAGAAGGACAAGGGCAAAGGAAGAGAGTAGGAGGATGGAAAAGAGGAGACAGCACCAGAAATTACCAAAATGATGCACGGAAGAAGACACCACTACAGATCTGACAGGTATTCAAATACACTAAAAAAAAAAAATACTTCGAATATTTTTATGCAAATAAACTCAAATACATAAATGAACAGATTCTTTGAAAGGCAGAAACTCTCAAAGCTTCCCTAAGGAAACACAGATAACTCAAACCAGACAGAAATTACAAGTAAGTCATAAACTAATCTCCTTCTTAAATATCGATTCAGAAATTTTTCCCAGGGCTGGAGCTGTAGCTCAGTAGCAGAGCATCTGCTTCGCACACAGAAAGTCCTCGGTTCAATTCCCAGTACTACGGGTAAAAAAGAGCATTTTCAAAATATAAACCAGTTAAATCTAGCAATAAATGAAAATCAATCAATAAATAAAGACCAAATGGGTTTTACCCCGAGAATGCAAAGCTGGTTCAATATTTGAAAACCAAACAATATAATTCATAATATCTACAGACTGAAGAAAAATCATACGTCAGTACATGAAAACCATTTGACTCGTTCATGATAAAACCTATCAGCAAACTAGGAACAGAACAATACTTCTTTAACTCGATAGAAGACCTCTATTAAAAGAAACCTTCCATGAATATTTTATTTGATGAAACTTTGAAAGTTTTCACATTAAAGATTGGGAACAAAGCAAGGGTGATTTATTTAACATCTTATGAAAGACTGAGCCAGCACAATCAAACATTAAAAAGCAGTAAGTGTATAACTTGAAAAAAGAGGGCTGACCAAATAGCTCAGAGGATTAAAGCACCTGCAAGCAGGTGCAGGGGCTGACGGTTCCGTCCCTGGGCCTGCTGTGCCAGATGCACCCCCTGGGTGTGCTGAGGCGGCAACTGAGACTGGGCATGGTGGCGCGCACCTGTAATCCCAGCTCTTGGGAAGCTGTAAAGAGTTGGACCACTACGAGTCCGATCTCGAAGTGAGACCCTGAACACCCTGTAGACCTTTCCCTAAAATATATTTTAATAAAAAGAAAAAGAGAAAGGAGACATATACTGTTCCAGTTTTTAGACTTTTTATATAGAAAATCTCTACACACACACACACACACACACAAAGACACTAAGTGAGTTTTGCTTTGGTTTCAGGATACAAGATCAACAAATGTGTCAATTATTTCTATACTGTAGTAAAAAATTGATTTTTTAAAAAATGTATTTGGGTTTGATATGCAGACAGATAGTGAGGTTAAGCTTAACGGCCTAGCTTGTATGGTAATAACAATTAGCATGTCTTCTGGATGGTTAACAACCTAAGTTTGCAGACCAAAATTAGAGAAAAAGGAGGGCCACAAGGAAAGCCAACATTTTGGCCTTAGCCTTCCAAGGTCAATTAAGACTCAGGACATATGAGAACTTGTACTGTAACATCATGGAACTTGGTAGTGTCCCAAATTTTCTGATCGAGATTATGGGGCCAAAGAGGAAAGTGATCGAGGATATAGAGTATGCCTAAGGAGAGTCACATGGAGAGAAAACATTCTCTCAGGCTTTCACAGAGAGCACATTGGCCAAGCAATGGCCGTGACTCATCCACATGGCTGACACTGACAAAGGTTCTACAATCTGAGGTACAGGATCTCAGGATAAGTCCTGAGGGGATTTCACTGACCTTCTCAGACCCAAAAGCCACAACTCTTGTTGCATAGGTCCTGCTTTACCTTGGTCATAACCATCCAGCAGGAAAGTATAAAAATGAAGTATAAGAAGTAAAGCCACGCTGTTATGTTGAGCTGTAGGGGACTCAGGTCAACAATTTCTGACATTGCCAGTCAAGCGGAAGACCCAATAATATTATGGACTACTGGACTCCTTTAGAATATTTTGCTAACACACTTATAATATTCATATAATGAAACTTAACAAAAAAAGGGGATACAGATGAATGTCCATTTTGTATCTGTGTATTCAAAATGGTTAGGATAGATATAGTTACATTCTCTTAATGAGGGGGTTGGGGAAATGGCTCAGTGGAATACGTGCTTCCCTGGCAAGTTCAAGGGCCTGAGTTCAATCCCTGGTTCCGCCAAAAATAAAAAACAAACAAAAAAACATTCTCTTAATGAATAGAGGGATTTGTTCTAATAGTGTTTGTAAATAGGATATCATGTCCACATCTTGTACAGTAATTAACCACTAGGAAGAATATGCAATGTGTTAATTATTGAAACTGTCCTACCAATTTGGTTTGAAACTGTCTCATTGCTATTTGTTTCTCAATAAAATTATGGGAAAAAA